GATGACGGGAGGGAGCTTGTCATTTTCTCTCAACTATCTTGAACAACTCCTTTAGCCAGGGTCTCTGGGGAGGTCTGGACCGCGTACCCAATGCAGCCATTGCAGCTGCATGAGCCACAGTCGTAAACCTCGCCCATTTCCCCTCAACTCCAGCTGAAAGCGATGTTGAAATTCCTACTTGCAACTATGCTCAACTGAGACCAGGCTAGTGTGTGTTTGAATGGGGTCCTAGATGGACACCCATCACCGGAGTGGAAGAATGGCAGGCACATCTTACAGATGCCAAGCTGATATTTCACACTACGTAGGCAATCGCGTTAATCGGAGGTGGGCAGATCAGATACACGGTTGGTCCTGATATCAATGACATGGTCCCGCATCTGCTGGTCCATCACGAGTCCAGTAGATGTTCCTGGATGGACCTCGAATGCATCTACAATTTGTGGATGCGCCGATGCCGGAACAGCATGTTGGTGATTACAAGCCCATGGGCTGCACAGAAGTCCAGCAGCCTCCCGTTGTTATTGAGCTCATCTGACCGATGCCTTCCCATCATGGTGACCCAGGTGTTTGCGTCATAACCCACCCGGGCATTAAAGTAACCCGACAGGATGACTCTAAATTTCGATGTAAAGCTTTCGTGACTGCAGGGATTCATCTTCTTGGTTCTTTCGGTAAAGTCACGTAGAAGGGAAATAATAAAATAATAAAAATTTAACATAATAAAATAATTCTGACGTTTCGGCCACAACGCAAGCATCCGTCCTCAGGTGAAAACCAGGTCTGTCGGGGAGACAGCGTCTGAATGAAACAGCACACGAGCTTGGAGCATATATATAAGCTGGGTTGGAAGGGGGGGAAAGGGCGCTTCGACAAAAGAATTTGCATATCAAGAGGAATTTAGCATATTTGTATTATTTTATTACTTCCCTTCTACGTGACTTTACCGAAAGAACCAAGAATATGAATCCCTGCAGTCACGAAAGCTTTAAATCAAAAAATAATTCTCACGACGTTTCGGCCACAACGCAAGCAGCCGTCCTCAGGTGAAGACGTCTTTCAGAAGCTGTCTCCCCGACAGACCTGGTCTTCACCTGAGGACGGCTGCTTGCGTTGTGGCCGAAACGTCGTGAGAATTATTTTATGATGTTTTATTTTTATTATTTTATTATTTCCCTTCTACGTGACTTTACCGAAAGAACCAAGAAGAGGATGACTCTATCCCGAGGGGTCACTTTGGCTAGCACCTGTGACAGGAGGTTATAGAAGGCCTCCGACTCATCAGCCTTGCCTGCATCCCTCCACTGATGTTCATCTTCAGTGGGTTGCGTAAGCAACCACCACCACCATCATTCCTCGCCTCTTGCGGATGGGGAGGAGAGCCCAAAGTAGCCTGGGACTCCCAGCTTCCCACACCTCACTGCCATGTTCCCACACCCCCTTCATTATTTTAGTCAAAAGAAGAACCACTCCCTGTTGTTTGGCAGTCCCCTTAACCGAGTGGAGGACTGTCCACCCCTCATGGTGGCTGGAGCCAGAACCGGTCCACCGGACCTCCTGTATTCCACAGAGGCTCCGGCAGTAAAGCTCCATCTCCCGACAGAGGAGTGGCAGCCTCTCCTCCGCAACGGGAGTTTGAACATTCCACGTGGCCAATCGAAGTAGTCTCCTGTTCTTGGAGGAACCCCAAGAGTGTGGGGGGGGGGGGGGGAGTTGAGTCTGGCTCTGCCAGATGGAGTTTGTCCAGAAGGGGTTCTAACCGCCTGTCCCCCTGGGGTCTCCAACACGAGCTCATCGCGGTGCCAGGTGAAGGGGGTTACCAGCCCCTCGCACACAAACAGACAAGCACAGGCATCGTTGGATTCAAATCTTTATTGCGCCTTGATTAATCCAACTTTAGATTTAAAGCTCTCGTGACTGCAGGGATTCATATCTTTGGTTCTTTCGGTAAAGTCACGTAGAAGAGAAGAACCGCCACTTTTTTTCAAATTTTCTTGCTGTGGATTTCACACCTGATGCTGATTGCTTGTGTTGCAGTCGAAACGTCGTGAGAATTTTTATTGTTTTATATTTTTATTATTTTATTATTTCCCTTCTACGTGACTTTACCGAAAGAACCAAGAATATTTAAGTGATTGTTGTTAGACTACAAAACATTTCAGTAAATCGTTGCACAGAATCAATGTCGTCGTTCCTTCGTGGTCAATTGAACGGTACCACTCTGTAGCAAATCACCAGACAGTCACTCAACTTGGCAACAAGGTGCTTGTGGATTGTGGGTGAAGTTACTGAGCGTCTCATAACACGACGACGGGGAATGATGATGCTTCTGGTGTCCATGATAATGGATCACTATGATGGCGAAGATCACAGATATTTACGAAGATGGAAACTATGTTTGTGTCATCCAATGAGTGGATCAATAGAAGTGATATTGGGCGGAATGACAGGTTCCTTCAATGATCGGGAGGCTCAGGCGTAATGGCGGTGGAAACGCGGCTCAGCAGGGCTTGGCGTCGGCAATGAGATCGCACCTGCTCACCACGATCTTCACGTCAGACCACGTGACCCCGTAGTAGATGCCCGCGATGGGCCCGCCACGCCTAGCGCCCGTCTCGTAGACCCTGGTGACGGTGGCGCTGTACGGCACCGACACCTCGCTTTGGACTCCCACGATGCTCGCGGTGCAGCGGTGCAGGGATGGCACGGGGATGGTCACCGAGTTATGGAATTTGATGGTCTCGCTCACGGACTTGCCCTCGCTGATCGTGTGCGTCGTCTCGGCCGTCACCGTCAACGACATGCTGGAGGCGTCGGGGATGCCGGCCGTGATGGACGTTTCCTCTCCGAACGTCATGCTGCTTTCGAGGCGCCAGTCCATTTGGCGGCTCAGCGACGTGGCGAGCTCGGCCGTACTTGGTGACCTTCTCGCAGCTCAGGTTCTCCGTGGTTACCGTCTGAATGGACTGCGGCCGCGAGCTGCGAACCTTGGCGCTGGCGACGTCGTAGTGCACGTCGGTAATGCTCTGCGAGAACTGCTGCGTGCTCATGGTGAGCACCTCGTACCTCTTGTACCAGTACTCGTAGCCATTGCACGATACAAAGAACGCCTGGTTTTCCACGCACACCTTGCCCAGGCCGTACCTGTTGCGGCCGATGTGGAGGCCGGGGAAGGTGGCGAGCGCGTTGGAAGGCACCTGTCCGTACGAGTCCCTGCGCCACTCCAGAATCTCGAGGTCGTTGTCATTGGTGAGGATCTCGAAGGTCGTCTCCGCCAACTCCTTCTCGCCATACGGCCACAAGCACACGCTCTTCCCCTGCGCTCAACACCACCATCATGGTCATCGTTATTGTCAAGAGCGGTGACGTGACCACGTGTGTGTAGTGGGGAGCGGTGGTGCAGCGGTTAGCGCTACGCTGCGCTACGAACCAGGCGACCCGGGTTCGATTCCCGCTCATGGCCAACACCGGTGACGATTATCCGAACCGGTCCTGGGCCTCCCCTAGGTCGACTCGGCCTCAAATGAGTACCTGGTGCGGTGTGTAAACATCGCCTCCCCCATTCTCTCTCCCCTGTCCCTGATTCTCTCCGTTATTCTCACCCCCCTTCTCCCCTTTCTCCTGTCCCTGTCCTCTCTCTGTGTCTCCCCTTACTCCTTCTGGGTTCTTTCGGTAAAGTCACGTAGAATGGAAATAATAAAATAATAAAAATAAAACATAATACAATAATTCTCACGACGTTTCGGCCACAAAGCAAGCAGCCGTCCTCAGGTGAAGAACAGGTCTGTCGGAAAGACAGCGTCTGAATGTCTTTCCGACAGACCTGTTCTTCACCTGAGGACGGCTGCTTGCGTTGTGGCCGAAACGTCGTGAGAATTGTATTTTATTATGTTTTATTTTTATTATTTTATTACTTCCCTTCTACGTGACTTTACCGAAAGAACCAAGAAGATGAATCCCTGCAGTCACGAAAGAAGCTTTAAATCGAAATCTCCCCTTACTCTTTCCTGATTGTTAAAAGCTGGTTACAGATACATTGATGCGGTCTAACACAAAAGCTTCTGGTGGATCATATTGGTCGCTTGAGCCGACATGAGAATTGGATTTTACCCTTTCTGGCACCAAAACAGTTGTGCTCAGATGTTCAAACACAAATGACGATTATCTCTGAATGGGTGCTGGGCCTCTCCAAGGTCGACTCGGCCTCAAATGAGTGGGGAGTCAAAGGTGGCAAATCTCCTAACATACCGTTCACCAAAGCGGTCTGTGACGAGGAAGACGGAAAACCGATTCGAAGGTGGGCAGCAGGTGTTGGTTGTTGCAGTTGGCACTTCCTACCTTGATGTGGTACCCAGAGCCCGAGCGATTGGAGAAGTAGACCCGGCACACGTAGACCGTCTTGCCGATGTAGTCGTTCCAGATTGACACGGCCCATGGCGGCACCTCCCCCGTGAAGTCCACCCACAGCAGGTGCACGTTCACTCCCGGGATGGGGCGTTGAGACCCCGTGGAGCGCCTCCGCACCACCACGGGAGGTCGCCTCTCGTCAGATTCTGGAATCAAAAAGGTTCAGACGCAGGGGGGTTTGGGGGCTCGCGCAAAGAAATTTGGTGACGAAAATATTCACCGAGCGCCCATTTCACTTTTGGCAACGATGACCGTGGGTGGACGCAAAAAATAAATGGACGTAACAATGACTCGGACCGCTGTCCCCATCCAAAGACCAACCGTGGCTATGACGAGGCAACGTGAGTGAGTCTCAATGAAGACACAGACAGGCGACCGAACGTGCAAATTGTCTCTGTGTGTGAAAGGATTCAGCTCACGCGGTGTTCAGCGAAGGTGCCTTCATCCGATGACCCATAGGTAACATCCCCGGTCATACAGCGGGTAACACACCACGCTTCAGTAACTCCGCATCCATAAATCCCTCCTCTCTCGCTGTCCTCTGTTATCACCTGGTCCACATTCCTTGCCAGTCCACTCATTGTCCAGGGCTTTGGCTCAGATGTGTAACTGGCCTATTTGATAATTGTTTTTTTACCCTTCTATCTGGCAACAAAACTGACACCTTTTTTACAAGGAGTCATGTTTGCGTAGACCACAATACCTGCAGTCATAATGCAAACAGAAAACAAAATAAAAGGGTAAAAAACCAATTATGTTTTGCTACTGGCAAAGGAGGTTCCAATGGTGTAAATTCTTAATGCCCCGAGCTCTCATACTCTGATGGTGCATTGTCTTTGAGTTGTGCGCCTTTTGGCGTCATCTGGTCCAACACCATGAGAGACTGGGCTCTAAGGAAAGCTGTCTCGGGTGTGGACCAATCAACTTCAAGGACAGTGCACATTATCAGAGTTGTGTTTTTTGTTTGCATTATGACTGCAGGTATTGTGGTCTATGTAAACATGACTCCTTGTAAAAAGGTGTCAGTTTTGTTGCCAGATAGAAGGGTAAAAACCAATTATCAATTGGGTCACAGTTCCTATGATCACTGTTTCATTGCTTTTATGGCTTTATTTTGGTGATTTCGAAAACGTGTTTTGGTTTGGCCATGTTTGTTTGTTGTAGTACAGAGTTAGACTGATGGCCTTAATCTAAGTTGTCTTGTGGTTGTTGTTGTTGTTGTTTGACTTGCATCCCACTGGGATTTTTGCACACAGCGTTGGTGTACGGTGCCTTTTCTGCAATATTTTGCTGTCTTTTCTTGGATTTTCTGTTTGCGCTCAGTCACATGGTCACTTTAAGATGTTTTCTTGTTCATGTTTTTGTTTTTTGTTTGTTGCCGTTGCACCCGATTCAAGAGCCGAATGGCTCACAGGGTTATACCTAATACATGAACTTTAATCTTAATTTTGGAGCTTTCGTGACTGCAGAAATTACTCTTTGTTCTTTCGGTAAAGTCACGTATAAAGATAAAATAATAAATTAGATACTAGCATACTACGACGTTTCGTCACAAATGTCTGACCCCCCCCCCCTAGGTGTATGAACCCCTTACCCCCAACCCCCCACCCCCCACACCAATCTCATTGTCATCATCATCGTTCATCTGAAATGTATGTAAAGCGAATGCAATGTGTATGTTTGATTGTGTTATTGTGCAATGTACTGCAATTTAGTCGGCGTTTAGTTCACAAACAGGCAACTTCGTTAAGTCTTGACGGGTCTGACCGCGGTTCCCCTAAGGGGCCGTCCATAAATGACGTCACGCACCTGGGGGGGGAGGGGGGGTCAGACATGTGTGACGATGTGTGACGATGGGGGGTGAGAAATGTGACGTCACATAAAAATGCGCAACTTTAAATGAATACAGACAACACGTTCTACTTAGTTAAATAGACTTTGTAATAAATGTTTTCTCCTACAACATCAGAGTGAAGCGCCACATTAAATACGCACTACAATGACAATAATCGTTTAAAGCGATTTTAAGCGTTTTTTTTTTCAAAATGTAAATATGGTTTTGGGGGGGGGGGGGGCAGAGCTTTGTGACGTCATGTGACGAGGGGGGGGGGTCAAAAATCGTCAAATTGCGTGACGTCATTTATGGACGGCCCCTAACTCATTTGAAGCTGAGTCACGCGCCCACAAACGTGTTTACACCGTCAAGTGACGTCACGCAGCCACGAACTCCGTCGGGTGACGTCACGACCACGCCACTTAGGCAGTCGGGTGACGTCAGGCGCTCCCACTAAAGTAGTTATTTGACGTCACGCGCCCACTAACGCGGTTGGATTACGTCACTCACCCGCCACAAAGCAGTTGAGTGACGTCACGCGCTCACTAACGCCGCAGGGTGACGTCAGGCGCCCACTAACGCGGTTGGATTACGTCACGCACCTGCCACAAAGCAGTTGAGTGACGTCAGGCGCGTTTATTACAGCAGTCGGGTGACGTCATCGCGCTCACTAACTCCGCAGGGTGACGTCACGCACGCCATTAAAGCAGTCGGGTGACGTCACGCGCTCACTAACTCCGCAGGGTGACGTCACGCGCCTACCAACGCGGTTGGATTACGTCACGCGCCCGCCACAAAAGCAGTTGAGTGACGTCAGGCGCCTTCATGCCAGCAGTCGGGTGACGTCACGCGCTCACTAACTCCGCAGAGTGACGTCACGTGCCCCTTTAAAGCAGTCGGATGACGTCACGTGCTCACTAACTCCGCATGGTGACGTCACGCACCCCTTTGAAGCAGTCAGGTGACGTCACGCGCTCATTAACTCCGCAGGGTGACGTCACGCGCGCCATTAAAGCAGTCGGGTGACGTCACGCGCTCACTAACTCCGCAGGGTGACGTCACGCACGGCATTAAAGCAGTCGGATGACGTCACGCGCCGCCGCTGCACCACGCAATGGGTGAGCAGCCTCCAACTACTGTACCATCTACTGTACCGCCTACTGTACCATCTACTGTACAATGTTGCCGACTGTACTACTGTAGCACGCTTTACTGTACTGTCCACGCTACTGTCTACAGTATACAGTACACGACTGTCCACTGTACTCGAGCTACTGTGCTCTACCGCACTGTCTACTGTACTCCACTGTCTACTGTACTGCCTACTGTATGTGATCATTGGTCATGGTCTGTGTGAGTCTGTGGGTCTCTGTGTGAGTCTGTGGGTCTCTGTGTGAGTCTGTGGGTCTCTGTGTGAGTCTGTGGGTCTCTGTGTGAGTCTCTGTGTGAGTCTGTGGGTCTCTGTGTGAGTCTGTGGGTCTCTGTGTGAGTCTGTGGGTCTCTGTGTGAGTCTGTGGGTCTCTGTGTGAGTCTGTGGGTCTCTGTGTGAGTCTCTGTGTGAGTCTGTGGGTCTCTGTGTGAGTCTGTGGGTCTCTGTGTGAGTCTGTGGGTCTCTGTGTGAGTCTGTGGGTCTCTGTGTGAGTCTGTGGGTCTCTGTGTGAGTCTGTGGGTCTCTGTGTGAGTCTGTGGGTCTCTGTGTGAGTCTGTGGTCTCTGTGTGAGTCTGTGGGCTCTGTATGATCTGTGGGTCTCTGTGTGAGTCTGTGGGTCTCTGTGTGAGTCTGTGGGTCTCTGTGTGAGTCTCTGTGTGAGTCTGTGGGTCTCTGTGTGAGTCTGTGGGTCTCTGTGTGAGTCTGTGGGTCTCTGTGTGAGTCTGTGGGTCTCTGTGTGAGTCTGTGGGTCTCTGTGTGAGTCTCTGTGTGAGTCTGTGGGTCTCTGTGTGAGTCTGTGGGTCTCTGTGTGAGTCTGTGGGTCTCTGTGTGAGTCTGTGGGTCTCTGTGTGAGTCTGTGGGTCTCTGTATGAATCTGTGGGTCTCTGTGTGAGTCTGTGGGTCTCTGTGTGAGTCTGTGGGTCTCTGTGTGAGTCTGTGGGTCTCTGTGCGAGTCTGTGAGTCTCTGTGTGTGAGTCTGTGGGTCTCTGTGTGAGTCTGTGGGTCTCTGTGTGAGTCTGTGGGTCTCTGTGTGAGTCTGTGGGTCTCTGTGTGAGTCTGTGGGTCTCTGTGTGAGTCCGTGGGTCTCTGTGTGAGTCTGTGGTCTCTGTGTGAGTCTGTGGGTCTCTGTGTGAGTCTGTGGGTCTCTGTGTGAGTCTATGGGTCTCTGTGTGAGTCTGTGGATCTCTGTGTGAGTCTGTGGGTCTTTGTGTGAGTCTGTGGGTCTCTGTGTGAGTCTGTGGTCTCTGTGTGAGTCTGTGGGTCTCTGTGTGAGTCTGTGGGTCTCTGTGTGAGTCTGTGGGTCTCTGTGTGAGTCTGTGGGTCTCTGTGTGAGTCTGTGGGTCTCTGTGTGAGTCTCTGTGTGAGTCTGTGGGTCTCTGTGTGAGTCTGTGGGTCTCTGTGTGAGTCTCTGTGTGAGTCTGTGGGTCTCTGTGTGAGTCTGTGGGTCTCTGTGTGAGTCTGTGGGTCTCTGTGTGAGTCTGTGGGTCTCTGTGTGAGTCTCTGTGTGAGTCTGTGGGTCTCTGTGTGAGTCTGTGGGTCTCTGTGTGAGTCTGTGGGTCTCTGTGTGAGTCTGTGGGTCTCTGTGTGAGTCTGTGGGTCTCTGTATGAATCTGTGGGTCTCTGTGTGAGTCTGTGGGTCTCTGTGTGAGTCTGTAGGTCTCTGTGTGAGTCTGTGGGTCTCTGTATGAATCTGTGGGTCTCTGTGTGAGTCTGTGGGTCTCTGTGTGAGTCTGTGGGTCTCTGTGTGAGTCTGTGGGTCTCTGTGCGAGTCTGTGAGTCTCTGTGTGTGAGTCTGTGGGTCTCTGTGTGAGTCTGTGGGTCTCTGTGTGAGTCTGTGGGTCTCTGTGTGAGTCTGTGGGTCTCTGTGTGAGTCTGTGGGTCTCTGTGTGAGTCCGTGGGTCTCTGTGTGAGTCTGTGGGTCTCTGTGTGAGTCTGTGGGTCTCTGTGTGAGTCTGTGGGTCTCTGTGTGAGTCTATGGGTCTCTGTGTGAGTCTGTGGATCTCTGTGTGAGTCTGTGGGTCTTTGTGTGAGTCTGTGGGTCTCTGTGTGAGTCTGTGGGTCTCTGTGTGAGTCTGTGGGTCTCTGTGTGAGTCTGTGGGTCTCTGTGTGAGTCTGTGGGTCTCTGTGTGAGTCTGTGGGTCTCTGTGTGAGTCTGTGGGTCTCTGTGTGAGTCTGTGAGTCTCTGTGTGAGTCTGTGGGTCTCTGTGTGAGTCTGTGGGTCTCTGTGTGAGTCTGTGGGTCTCTGTGTGAGTCTGTGAGTCTCTGTGTGAGTCTGTGTGTGAGTCTGTGAGTCTCTGTGTGAGTCTGTGGGTCTCTGTGTGAGTCTGTGAGTCTCTGTGTGAGTCTGTGTGTGAGTCTGTGGGTGGCTGTGTGAGTCTGTGGGTCTCTGTGTGAGTCTGTGAGTCTCTGTGTGAGTCTGTGGGTCTCTGTGTGAGTCTGTGGGTCTCTGTGTGAGTCTGTGTGTGAGTCTGTGGGTCTCTGTGTGAGTCTGTGGGTCTCTGTGTGAGTCTGTGGGTCTCTGTGTGAGTCTGTGTGTGAGTCTGTGGGTCTCTTTATGTGAGTCTGTGGGTCTCTGTGTGAGTCTGTGGGTCTCTGTGTGAGTCTGTGGGCCTCTGTGTGAGTCTGTGAGTCTCTGTGTGAGTCTGTGGGTCTCTGTGTGAGTCTGTGGGTCTCTGTGTGAGTCTGTGGGTCTCTTTATGTGAGTCTGTGGGTCTCTGTGTGAGTCTGTGGGTCTCTGTGTGAGTCTGTGGGTCTCTGTGTGAGTCTGTGGGTCTCTTTATGTGAGTCTGTGGGTCTCTGTGTGAGTCTATTGGCCTCTCTGTGTAAGTCTCTGTGTGTGTGAGGCTGATCGACGCCCGGGTGCGATCAAGGGATGGCTCCCTATTGGTCAACCACGTTATGTATGCCGATGATTTGGTAATAGCTGCTCATTCAGAGGAGGAGTTGGAGACACTGCTTCTGAGACTGGAGCGTGCCACTAAGAGGTGGGGCCTTACCATCAGCCCCACCAAAACTAAGCACCTGCCTGGGTATTTTGTACCATCGGACACTCCACCCCCACAACTCCCAATTGGTGATGGGGCAGTAGTGGAGAAAGTGCAGAGTTTCCCATACCTGGGCAGTGTGCTTATGACCGGCTCCAGTTTATCAGCAGAGGTCTCACTCCGAATCAGTCGAGCGGCAATATCTTTTCATCGGTTGCGTAACGCTGTGTGGAAGCAACCTGGTCTGTCTCTGTGTGTGTGAGTCTGTGTGTGAGTGAGTGTGTGTGAGTCTCTGTGTGTGTGAGTCTCTGTGTGTGTGTAAGTCTGTGTGTGTGTAAGTCTGTGTGTGAGTCTGTGTGTGTGTAAGTCTGTGTGTGTGTAAGTCTGTGTCTGTGTGTGTGTAAGTCTGTGTGTGTGTAAGTCTGTGTGTGTGTAAGTCTCTGTGTGTGTAAGTCTGTGTGTTAGTCTGTGTGTGTGTAAGTCTGTGTGTGTGTGTGTGAGTGTGTGTGCGAGTGAGTGTGAGTCTGTGTGTGTGTGTGAGGGTGAGTCTGCTGTCTCTCCTTGTGACCTGTTAACTCCTAACCCATGACTCTCCCCCCCACCACGATCCAACAGACCATTGCTACCGCCGCTGGAGCGGGGGCCACGTGGGTGCGGTGCTGTGCGTGACCCCCACCGGTGACGGTGCCGGTGACACCGCTGGTGGCGGTGGCGGTGGTGGTGGTGGTGGTGCGTGGGGCGGCGTGGCGGCCGCCGTGTCTGGCGGCGAGGACGGCCGCGTGTGCCTGTGGAGCGCCGAGGGCTGCCCGGTGGCGGTGACCGCCCTGGTGGTGGGCGGTGGTGGCGGTGGTGGCGGTGGTGGCGGCGGTGCGGTCGCGGTGACGGCCTTGGCCGTGTCGGACCGCGACGGCCACTCGCTGTTTGCGGCGCACGGCGGCGGCGTATCCCGGCTGGACGCACGCTGCCTCGACATCAACCACGTGGGTGGCGGTGGCGGTGATGGGTGTGGTAGATGTGGTGGTATGCGAGGATTGTGGTGGCGGTTGTGGTGGTGGTGGATGTGGTGGTGATGGTTGTAGTGCTGGATGTGGTGGATGTGGTGCTGGATGTGGTGGTGATGGATGTGATGGTTGTGGTGATGGTTGTGGTGGTGGTTGTGGTGGTTGTGGTGCTGGATGTGGTGGTGATGGATGTGATGGTTGTGGTGGTGGTTGTGGTGCTGGATGTGGTGGTTATGGTGCTGGATGTGATGGTTGTGGTGCTGGAGGTGGTGGTTATGGATGTGATGGTTGTGGATGTGGTGGTGCTGGATGTGGTGGTTGTGGTGCTGGATGTGATGGTTGTGGTGATGGATGTGGTGGTTGTGGTGCTGGATGTGATGGTTGTGGATGTGGTGGTGATGGATGTGATGGTTGTGGTGATGGTTGTGGTGATGGATGTGGTGGTTGTGGTGCTGGATGTGGTGGTGATGTATGTGATTGTTGTGGTGGTGGTTGTGGTGCTGGATGTGGTGGTGCTGGATGTGATGGTTGTGGTGCTGGATGTGGTGGTTGTGGTGCTGGATGTGGTGGTTGTGGTGCTGGATGTGATGGTTGTGGTGCTGGAGGTGGTGGTGATGGATGTGATGGTTGTGGATGTGGTGGTGCTGGATGTAATGGTTGTGGTGCTGCTTGTGGTGGTGCTGGATGTGATGGTTGTGGTGCTGGTTGTGGTGGTGCTGGATGTGATGGTTGTGGTGCTGGATGTGATGCACAGGGGCAGCTGCCACTGGGGTTGCCCCCAGGCTACCATCGCCACCCCCTACTGGCAGCAGACCGATGTCCTCTGGCAGGCACAGCTGTTGAGCTACTGGGTGTTGAGCTACTGGGTGTTGAGCTACTATTTAATAAAAAAAAAATATATATATATTTTTGTCCTAATTATTCTTAATATAAATTTTTGGAAAAAGGGGCATAACCACAACGTGCGTCCGCGCGTCTTCCCGTGCGTAGCCCGTGGCGCGCTACGAGCTGTGCCGCCCGGCCGTCGGGCCGCGGCGACGACGACTACTCGGAGGGGAGGAGGGCGACTACGAGGAGGGCGACTACGAGGAGGAGGAGGATGACGAGGTGAACTCGGTGGCGCT